AACAGCTGTAGTGCAATGCACTGCTTTGGTTCAACATGTTTGTCTCTCACAGTTGAAGCTAGCAGACGAAATCAGATGGCAATGAACTCCGTTTAGCCTGCCACACTGCACCCTCCCATTCTGTTCTGGGCTGTTGCGGGGTTGTAAAAGGCAATGCAGCTGCCTTTCATCCCTGTTAACAGCAAAAGCTACCACGTAACCTTTTAAAACTGCAGCCTTAGCAGGAATACCCCTTGGACTCCTAGTGCCGGTGCGGATGAATTCACAAGTTAAGAACAGAACATTTACCCTCTGTAGAGCTAACCAGGAAAGTGTGGCTGTGCTTCTTTCTCTAACTTGCCTTACTGGGCTGGCATGAATTACCTTCTCTCTGGACAAGGCTGCAGTTGATCTGCTACTCCAGTGCAGAAGAACAAGATCCTGTCACTACCTCAGTACTGGGCAGCTGAAGCTTGACAGAGCAGAAGGGCTTTACACATCATCTCTAGCCCACTAAAGGCTGGCTTGCAGAAAAAGTATTTTGTAGCGTGGCCCAAACTATTTTAAGTATGCCAAATGTGATGATTTAGAACATGTACGCTCCACTCTTCACCTACTGTGCATGTGAAAAGGCATTTGCAGGAAGCACATTCTCTAAGCAGCAGCATGAAAGAAATCCAATACCTTGCTTGTTCCTCCCCGTTCACAACGGCAGGGAAATACAACCAGATTGCTATGCAGATACAGATAACAAAGATGGATACTCCATAGGTGTTTACTTTCTTGAATGACACAGGAAAAAAAAAGAAGAAAAAAACCCCTCCAAAACCCAAATCATGCTGTTCCCAGAAACAAATGCATTTCAGATATTATAGGTGTTTTGCCCTTAAAATTGATCATGAAAATTGACAGACTTTGTATTGGATTTACTTCCACTGAAAACCCGTTCTTCCCTGCTTCTTCCTAACGCACTGTAGCAAGCAGTGACCCTTGAGTCAAATATGTGACATGGCAGCTGACAGAGCTTCCTCTAAGGGAAATTCAGAGATTCTGGAATTTGTTCACACAGCCTTAATCTGAGATATTCAAAACAATTTCTTTTTTGACTGGCCACAAGAGAGATCAATTTGACAGAATTATGAAAAAGGCTGAGCATGAACTCCCAGGCTGGTAGGTAACAAGTTATCCCCATTTCAGAGGGAACAGATTTTAACTATGCCAGGCTTTAAATCATATTTAATAAATATGGTAAAACTTAATCAAATTAATTACAAGCACCTTTAATTTTGAGCCTAAAGTAATTTCAGTTCCCTTTAAAGTTACAAAATTAAAAGAGTGCCCAAAATACTGCAGTGAGATGGAAGCACAAATATTCTACAGTAAAGAAAGAATATTGTACGGTATATTTCTACTTTGCCAATAAAAGTTATGCAGCATTATTACCATATTCTAAACTGACCTCCACACAATCTGCACCTGGAAGCATCATAACCTCAGTGGTAGACAATATTTGAGTGGGCTTCTTCCTTCAGAGTTCAATAAAGATTTAAGGAAAAGGAAGTATTTTCCACATGATTTAGTCAGTATGGACACTTGCCCCTTTTCAAAATTAAGAATTATTGAGAAGAAATCAATTTTTTTTCCATTCTTTATTTTGTCTATGCTTTTTTTTTGTTGTTGTTAAAAGAAAGGATGACCTAGAAAAGTTTTATCTCCTTCCTAAAGCACAGATGACTAAATCAGCTAGCTATGCAAAAGCAATAACCATATTCACAATGTCTAGCAAAGGAGTGATATATAATCTTCAAATACCAGTAAGAAACAGAATCCTTCACATTCATTCAACAGAGCTTGCAAAGTCAGATAAAGGTCAGATGCACTTAAGATTTTTTTTCTTCAGAGAAATTATGCAAGGCTTTTTTCCTCACAAAAGCTCTGTGACAAGTAAAACTACAATAAATTCAAGCTATTCTGCATTCAATTGCTTTAAATCTCATATTGAAGTCCTGCTTCCTAAAGCAGTCAGGAGAATGAGGAAAGACTAGATAAATACAGATTTGACTTTCCAAAGAACAGACAAGCCTTGTAATGAAATGTACTGCCTATGGGGGAAGGTAAGAACTAAGCAAAAATATATGGCAAATAACTGGAGGAATCAGAGCTGGATTATGGAAATATTTGTAAATAAAGGTATTACAAATGTTTCTATTCCTAAGCTTATGCAAAAAAATTCTAGCTTAGTCATTTACTCATTCCATGCTTTTCTTACTTCTTCTTCATTTTAACATTAAAAAAACCAGTACCAAAAAACCACCCAACATTCTCTTACCACATTAGGAAACTTGAATCTTCTTGAGATTCCATCTCTTTTTGGATTATCAGGTCATTTGTTTAAAAATTAACACAAAGCAATCACTTATGGTGAGATATTCTTTATAAACTAGTCAATAGTCATCTGGCTTTTCTCTCCTCCTATGCAGCGTGTTTGGAGACAAGAGATACTTACTGGTATGAACTATACTTTTCCAATTACCTACTCTTTTTTTGAAGGAATTGCTAATTAAGTAGACACTTTGTAAATCTTATATACCATTACATGCTTTGTTCACTAGCTGAATCCTTCTGGGACACCTGACCTGAACAGCCTTGCCAGTCAGCCACAGAAGCATTTTCTCCTGTTGCTAATACATTATATTTTTCAGACTAACCCAGTCAATATTTAGATATGGGGCCTGGGTGGATTTTCTGCCCTAGAGGACTCGCAGCTTTACGTTTCTACCTGCAGCCTTACAACATACAGGCCTCGGGTCCTTCACTGCAGTGACCCAGTGACTCAGCAACACGTTTTAGCACAGGTAATGTTTCGCCACCGCTACACAGTCCGCTCCTTACAACTCGCAGAGTTTTCCCTTGTGGACAGCTGGAAGAGGCAATGGAGGCCAGTGGGGAACCACAGGGTGCCTGCACACTGACTCCAACTGCCCGTAGCTGGCTGCCTCAGCTTTTGAGGGAACCTGGCCATGCCCTCTAGTGACAAACCTCCAACTGCACACTGTCCAGGTGAGACACAACGTGCAGGTCGATGAAGCAGAAGGGCCCTTGGATATGTGCACTGCACATTTCTTTTTATCCCCTCCACTGTGCTCCACTCCACATCTACTGGCACTCAATGATCGTGTTGGCCCCTTCCCACTGAGCTGCTCTATTCTATTAACACTCAAATCAGCTAAATAAGCCACCCCAAAATAGTACCAAACATACATCTCTGGAAACTCAAGAAGATAGATTCAGTACATTAAGATACATTTAAACAGAGCACTCAGGAAACTTGAAATAATCCCGTGCTGCTTGCTGACATTGCAATTTGTTTCACAAACGCCTGCAACTACACCTGTAATTTTTTGAAAACACAATGCTTTGGATTCTCCAGTCTGAAAGTCCGAAATCCAAATCAGATTATCTGCATGCCATGCTTGAATTAGTGGGTAGAAATTGGTAGATATGGCCTACTGCTGATCAGTAAGCTGACTTCAAACTGATTTGCAGAAGGCAGCAGGAGCCACTTTTTGCTTGTAGAGTGTCAAACTTGGCTACCTGTACCTCTGCCTTTTGTCCTCTGAATGTTACAATTCTCAAAGAAGCATTTTTTGTACACCTGCAAGGTTCTTAAAGTACTGCCTGCCTATTGAAATACTGCCTCATTTTCCCTGTTTCTGTACGCTCTGGTAAAATGCGCTCTGCCTCAAGTGCTTTCAGGCAGCGTTACTCAAAGAATAGCAAACCCACAAATTCATAGAGCAATGGAGAAGCCATGGGCATTTTCCTAGACACCAAAAAAACATGCAAAAGCATTACAGAGGGAAAAAAATTATGCTCTAGTACAGCAGCTCAAGCATTGCACGAAAAATCCTGGGGCACATCCAGGGTTGTGGTGACAAGCGTGGAGCTGAATACACAAGTCTTGGTTCACCCAACGGAAAGGTCACCTTCATAACACGGCATATTCAGGGAGCTGCCTGACACATGCCCATTGACTTGAAATCAAGTGGCGAAGGCTGGTTGGCACTAGGAGGTCCACCAGATTAAATCGCTTCCATACACCCCTGAGGCCAGCACGCCTCTCCTGAGCTAGAAACCTGAACACAGATGGGGCTCCTGCTGCTCAGGCACCACGATGTCCCTCAAACCCAAGAGTACAACTCCACAGCTTGGTGAAGTATCACCAGTACTAGAAAATTGTTCACTTCTCACTCTGAAGTCATACGCAAACCAAATGCAGGTTACCCTGACAAGAAAACTTGCTTCACGATTAAACTATCCCATCATCTATGGCATACTGTGTTCTTTAAACTTCCCAGAACTGTAAGATATGGGATGGGTTCTTAAACAGTCGCTTTATATCTCTGGTCAAAATTAGCAGTCTTTACAGTCTCCTGTTTGGTGGCATTAATAGCATATTTTTGGTTTATAAGTAACACACAATATAAAAAAACAATGTTTGATTTACTGAGATCCGGCCTAAAAAAAACCAACCTAACCTCCCAGCATTTTATTTTAATGGCAGTCAAAAATACCGAAGTGACTGAAGCACAAAGGACAATGCAAATCAATATTTTAAGTACTATTAGCAAGCACATGAGATGCACAGAACTAAAGCCCTATTGCCAAGTGGGAATAGCAACTGGATAAAAATTAACTTACAAATAAAAGCATAGAATTTATTGCCTTGTCTTTGGCACCATTTAAGGGTATTACCCTTAAGATTCATGCCAGACTAGTTAAGATGATGTTGGCTTACAATCACATAAATCAACAGAGCTATGTCGACTTCTTGCCCTGATATACCCTTTTTTCAAAACCTGAAGACATGTCAAAACTAATCTTGTTTTACACTTGTAATTTATTTTGCTAGAAGTAAATTTCAGCAAGACCACAACTTATTTTACAGAGTTGACTGTGATTTCCTTTTTCTAGATATGCATGTTATACATGGACAAATATTACTTTAAAACATTACTTACAGATTGCCAAGCAAGAGACTCCATAATTCGATGTTCACAGCGTTCCAGATGCTTTATCATTTCCCTTGTTAGGCTTGGCTCCGCTTTAATAAAGCTTTCAATCACCTTGTAGAAGTCAAAAGCTTTTAAGTCAAATACATTGAGAATCCATGGGAAAGACAAGTCTGTTTCAGCACTGGTACCATCACTTTGTGAAGCGCTTCCTGCAGGGAAGATGGACTAATATTATCAAGAGTACTACATCCTCTCACTTCTGACATTTTTTCCTTTTTTGTATTTACTGAATCATTGCTAGTTCAGAAATTGTGAGCACTTTTTGGGTTGTTTTTTTTTGCTATTTACTGTACTTTATGTATTAGAACAAAAGGCAATAATTATCAATATATAATAATGCTATTTAGCACTTCAGATTCAACTTACTGCCATATGTAGCCATGACAACCTCAATAGCACAAGCCAGAAGAGACGTGTGGAAGACGTTATCATTCAGAAGTTTGCTATGGAGAAAGAAAGTTATTAATACTTATACTAACGCTAAAATAGCAGACTTCAATAACAAGTTAGGGACACATACCTAAAATTCTGCACTGAGAGGCGCTCTTCCTCCTGAAATATATAAATCAAACCAAACGTGTGTATATTCTTAGTATTCGTAAATGCAATGCCAGCAACTAAGCTACCAGTACTAAACTTACCGACTTTAGCATAGACTCCATTACTCTGTAATACAGACGTACTCCAAGCTTATATCTCTGTTAAAAAAGAAGAAATTCAAGAATATTACAAGAAGTTTTAACAGACTACAACAGGCAGACTCTCATGTTTTAACAATTCATAACTGTTCCATTTTTTGGAAGAGCCACTCTAAAGAAATCATTATCCCCAGGCCCATTTGCCAATAGCACTGGAGAGGCCTCAAAGCTTACTAAGGTTTGTGACTAGCAAAACCACATGAAGACTGATTAATCAAGTGTTTATATTGATTCACAGCTAACAGGATAAATACCAGTGCTGACAGACACAAGACCGTTGAGTACAAAATTGATCGGATTTGTTTTCCAAAATCCTTGTTAAAAGAACACCTCGCCTACTGATTTGTAAGGAAGTGAGTCACCTTGCGCAGTTTTAGGCAAAGTGAACTTAATGAATGCAAATATGTTTCACTAAATATATTTTACCCAGCAATTTTCCCATTCTTCATTAAAGTATTTCCAATATATTTCTACCCAATTACTTTATATTAAGAATAATTTGTTGAATATTATCTTTACAGAGCTTTAGGAAGAAAAATATATGTCCATTCCTCAAGTCAAATCCAATATTGTTACTTTTTGCACTGAAGACAGGTAAAGACAGTAAGTCAGCTCTCACATTAGGTAGTTCCAACAGAGTTCAAATGAGTAACGCTCAGGCAAAATGCTGCTTACCTGTGAGCCAATTTCAGCACATCCCTGTCCAACTGCTTCAGCAAATTTCTTTTTGAAGATGTGTTCAAGACTTTCTACTCTTTTCAGGATACTATCCTTAGGGTTCACTGTGCAATTCTAATAAAGTACAGGAAGGAGGGCAGGGGAAGGAAAGGAAAGGCAAGGGCATTTTACTTTAAAAACATTTTAATGATTTGATCACATTAGTCCTGCTTCACTTTGTAACATCTCTCAATCAGCTCATCAGCATAAATAAAAGTGGAATATTTAAAAAAAGATAGGATTGTTGTATGTTTCAACAATTTCCAGTAACTACTTCCCATCTCACATGCAAATAGCTGCAACTAATCCAACTAGCATGTGAGTATTACCATCAACATTAATGTCTTTAAAGTTAGAAATATGCTTAAGTTCCTCAATGTGGACACAAGAGATCCCCTGTGAGTACATCCTCCTTCTCTCCATCTTCCTTTTATATCCCCTTCTTTTTCCATCTGATACACACATAAATAAACCTGAATATTTAGTGCAGTAACAGAAAGATTTAAGAACTTATAAGGTTCCAGTACACATCAGTTAGATAGAAGTGCTTTCTAAAATGATTACAGTTAAACCATCCCAATTAAAATGTACTTCTTCAAAAACGGTTGTTAATAAAGGAGTTCCCAAAACACGTGCGTCAGTTCTACGTGTGTACATTTTACTTGAGTGATAATTCCACCAATCATTCACAAATCTTCCTTCTAGTCACTTACATTGAAATATATGATGAGAGTATCTGATGGTTTATCAGTTGCAGAGTTTAAAATCATAATCAATTGCTGAATGTTATTCATTGCAGCTCTGGAAAAAAATACAATAAAATGCATAATAAACAGTAAGGTTGACTTGACAGTTTCTAGAAGCTGAACAGCAATTCTACAAACCAAAAAAAATTTATGATTTTAGTTTTCAACTCAGTTACCAACCTGCTGGGAAAAACTGTTGTACTGTGTCAACCATTGTGAATTCTAATAATAATTTAATTCATCAAATCACCTAATTATTAGAGTGATTACAGTCCATAAGTAAATAACCAAAAGAACATAAATTAGGTAATAAACACTAACAAGCACTTTTAAAAACAATAAAATGGTGGTATTGCAATCCTTGTATGTGAAAATATTAAGTTAAATCAAGCAACTCCCTAACAAAAAAAACCTCTTTGGCTTTTCTACAAAAACAAGACAAAAATTTATTGAGTGAAGACAGCTTTTATGTTTCAAATCACCTGTTCACAAGTGTAATAAGTAAGATGTATTAAAACATGGCAGTCATTAAAAAATACAGCCTTTTTAACATTGATGCCTTGAAAAATGCACATTTTTCAGAGGCAGAGCTGTCACCATTCCTATTGGCAATGGCATGAGAATACAAAGTCTTTTCCCTCCCTGGATCTGAACCCAAAAGTCACATTTAAAATTAAATTCTTACTTTAACTCCAATTCCTCCTATTTCAAATAGAAAGGCTACAATTTGCTGTAATCCTTGTTCTACCTGCTGTATCCATAGCTAGGTTAGAAGGATCTTAAACATAAAATCTTCTTAACTTTTCAAGTAGTATGAGTGGGGGAAAAGGATGTGGACCTTAAAGAAACTTTTCAGTGTTCCCAAGAAATACAAACAATATCTTCTTAAAAAGCAAAACAAACATTCGTTATTGTCTAGATGAAAAGTAGATAAAAATATGAATAACATTTTATTAACTTGGATATACTGAAGTATTGAAGTATGTCTCCATACACAATTTTATTAGCATTACTTTACAGGTACAGAGTGTGGGGGAAAACAAACCAAAACCCATTGACATTAAAACTATTTGTATCTCTAATGCCTAGAATTTTCTTGCTAAAAACAGATTCAAAACCACAAGTAATATCCATTGATTCATATATATGTAGAAAACTACTAAAGCTAACACAAGTATCAGCAGTATTTCAGAAAAGCTGCAATAATTTAAAAAATTAAGAACACTTTGAAGACAAGTGCGTAGGATCCTGATGTTTATTCCACAGGACAAAATTAAATGCCTTGTTAGGGTGAGTGCCTCTCAAAGAAAGCATTTTTCAGTTTCTCTTCTAGAACTGAAATCCTGATGACAAACATTTTTCATGACTTTCAGAAAGATCGTTATTTTAAGATAACAGAACATGGCCCCTTCTGAAATAACATGTATTATCCAGGAGGTGACTGAAATATCTATAGGTGGGAAAATAAGAATAATGATCTTGTCATACAGGACAAGAAGATATGTGCATGAGCTAGCATCTAAACAGCCCACATTTCCAACTTTTGGGGTTATCATGCATTGTCTACCTTTATTATTTGCACATACATACAGAACTAATAAAATCTCCAGTATATCCATAAATACTAATGTAGCCTGGCTTTTTCTTAAAAACGTATTTCAATTTGTGTATTAATAGCATTAAGTTTCTATTCTTTTAGAAAGGTTAGTGTATTAATTTCTCTCCTAATATCTAAGAAACAGTTTGATTCTTTCAGTGAAACTTATTTTCTGAATTTTTCATTGTGTTTTTCAGGTTATGGTGGGGGTTTTGTTTGTTTTAAATTTCTGTCCTATTTAACCTCAATTTGGCTCATATCACTCAGAAAATAAGTGGAGAAAAAAGAAAAATATGTTCAATCATTACAACTGTAGTAATGCAAACATGCATTTTTCTTTCATCTGCTTTTTAGAAGGTTTTGGTAAAATCACTTCTACCAAAACTTTTGTAGTGATAACGAAAAGCATAAGAACAGTGGAAAAAACCTAAAATGAAAACACACAATCCATTCTCATTATGCTCTGAACTAGTACTCACACCCTTTTTATGTACTGCTTTATATATAAATGACCAGATACAAATCCACTGATGAAAATTATTAGATTCTCACCAATTTCAGGGGGCTTTAGAGCAGATCCTAAGTGTCAAGGTCCAGAAAGAAGACATTATAAGGAGATTCAAAGTAGTAAGTATGGTGCTTTCAACATAACCTGTAAGGGGTTCTATTTAATGCAGGGAAAGTTAATGATGATACACTTTCCACTCTATGCTGGTGATCAAAGGTTTACTGCCATCTAGTGACAGTTCTGTGGGAAAACCGAAAATCAGTTCCTACAGCCCAAACCACTGCTGGTGAATAAGCCTCCACTTGAACTGTCTTAAGTGGCAGCAGTTTTGGGAAACTCAGAGAAAAGCCAAACTGTGGATAGAGAGAAACTAAATATCTCACTAGACCTCTACTCCAGATCAAAGTTAGTTTAGCACATTTCAAATTTTTAGCAATGTAGAAACTTGGTAGCCCTGGACTTTCTTAGTAAGACTTTCATATCAACTTTAATGAAGCACCTTTCACAGTGTTCAAGGGCTTTAATTCTAGTATAATTGAAAAGTGTCAAGAGTAATCTATATTTGTCAAAAATGAGATTTGTTGTCAATGACCTTCTTGTCAAATACACTGCATGTTATAGATGGTCTAGTTCCTGACATCACACATTCAGTCTGGGAACTGAAAGGCAAACTGGTCCTTCATGGTTGAAAATAAAAAAAGATCGCACGCAGTTAAAGAGTTGAAGCATAAGACTAAAAAGGACCACTAAGGCAATCAACTAAAGCCTTTCACAGTCACAGGCGATTAAAAGTTCTTTCATATACTGATCAATATCTATCTCAGCTGCATGTCTCCTTTTATTATTTTTATAAAGAAGCTTTTCAGAACCTTGTTGCTCTGTTGGCTAGAAAACAATTAGTCTCTGCAGGTGGCATGTAGTAGATTTTATAGTGGGTGCACAAGCCCAGAGTCTAACTCGTTCTTCCACAAGCATATAAATACAGTAGAAGTATTTTTTATAAAAACAAAAATAATTTTACTCATTTGAGAAAAATGAAGTAATAATTAAGGGTAAAATATTTTAACTTTTCTCATCTCTACAGCATGCTAAAATGAAAGGCTTTTATACAGCAAGCATGGAACGGGAACTTCACTGTCTGATTTTATTAAACCTGATACCTTAAGAATGACTGTCTATGCAAACACTTCTCTGCTTGTCCACATAGCACATGGAATTCCACTGACACAGCTGGTTGATGCTTGAGTGCCCAGGAATTTCTAACCACCATCAGGCAAAAACATACTGATTTTGTTAAAAAACTATGTGGCACAAGGGAAAAATGGTACATGCAAATCTCCTTTCCTTTAGTTAACTGAATTCAAGCTTGCAATTTTTCTGCATCTGATTGTAGATCAAACAATCTCCAATTAATACCACATTTCTACCATATCTGTCCATTTTCCTGATAGACCAAAATATGTTGGCACTCTGAAATGTTAATCCTTCCATACAGGAAAAAACAATACTAAGAAGAAAAAGATGATGGGAGAAGAAATATGTGGCATATACAATTTGGTATCAGGAAAGGAAGCCAGAAGATACAGAGCTAGAGTAAAGATGGGAAAGGAAGCTGGAAGTATAGCAGACAAAAGCACTACCATGGAAGTATAAAGTTGCATTCTCACAAGAACAAATACAGTAATCTATTCTACAGACATCTTGCACTTAGACAACTCAGTAAAAAGCTTTGTCTCTTTTCCAACAACTTCACCTGGAACCGAGGGTACTCAACACCCCTCAGTACATGCTCATTGCTCATTAGTGACCAGAACTACAGTCTGGTTTATGAGGAAAAAAACCCCAAAACCAAACCACCAACCATCAAACAAAACCCACAAACCAACAATTGCTTTAAAATTAAAACAACTACTCTAGAGATGAATATTTCTAGTTAGGATATTAAACAACACAGCTTAAAACAAAAACTCATACCGAACAGGAGTCTGCGGAAGTATAAAATTAAGTTCCTCATCTGGATTGTTTTTTACTGGTGTCCTCTCCAACTGTGAGCTACAGAAATGGAAAACAAACTTATAAGGAACTAATGTAATTCCAAAACGAATCTTTTCTATAAAGACTTATTCATCTGAAGAGAAACCTGTGGAACAGATTTTTAGAAGATCTAGATGTCCAACCACTCTAGTTGTTATAACAATGTAATTTACATTCCCAAGAAGAGCTGCTTTGAGCAGGAAGTTGGACTAGATGACCTCCAAAATTCCTGTCCAACTTTTTTTTTTTTTCTGGAATTCTATTTATAAACAGCTTAATTTATAGGTACAGCTAGTATTAGCTCCATTTTAATCCAATTTTAAATGAATGGGTTTTTTTCTAGCAAAGATAAAGTCAGACTCACGTCAAGTTATGGAATGCTGAATTGTTGGAACCACTGGGATTTAAGAGTATAACAAAAAAAAAATAGTATCATCGAATAGTTTGGGTTAGAAGGGACCTTTAAAGGTCATCTAGTTCCAACCCACCTGCAACGAGCAGGGACATCTTCAACTAGATCAGGTTGCTCAAGAGCCCCGTCCAACCTGACCTTGAACACTTCCAGGAATTAAGGCATCTACCACTTCTGTGGGCAACCTGTTCCAGTGGTTCACTGACCTTATCACAAAAAATTTCTTATGTCCAATCTAAATCTACCCTATTTTAGTTTAAAACCGCTACCCCTTGTCCTATCACAACAGGCCCTGCTAAAAAGTTTGTCCTCATCTTTCTTGTAAGTCCCCTTTAAATACTTACTGAAAGGCCACAATAAGGTTTCCCTGGAGCCTTCTCTTCTCCAGGCTGAACAACCTCAAGTCTCTCAGCCTGTCTTCATAGGAAAGGTGCTCCAGCACTCTGATTATTTTTGTGGCCCTCCTCTGGGCCCTCTCCAACAGGTCCATGACATCTGTATTACTCAAGAGCACCAGGGAATGTGTCTGGGCACTGGTACTTGACTGCTTATTCTGCTAAACTATTCGTAGCACATTTCTGTCCTATGCAAACTACCATTCCCCAAACAATTCGTGGGTACAGGTCAGAAGTCAGAATGGGCTGAGGACCACTCCCAGCAGGCAGCTTCCAAATGCCACCATCTGGTTTTAGGAAGGAGGAGTTGGACAGTGAGGACCCAAGCCATTCCATGCCAGCTGGTCCCAGAGCCATAACACCGTCTCAGGTACATCTAATCAATTACCATGACATGGCCTCAGCTTCTTCCTCCTCACAATTCCTCAGCTTCCCCTGGAGGACAAGGGCTTGCACAGAGTAAGAATTAGAGTAGAGCTTCCAAATCATTTTAAGTAGAGTCACAGTCATATGTTTTCTAATTATTTAAGTGATAATGTAAAGCAAGGCTGGTGATGCCACAAATACCTCAGCTGAACTACAAACCTAAGAGGTCAACAGGATACCGAGATCTCCATTTATAACATGAGGGGACGGAAAACAACACAAGTTCACATTCTCTGTTATAAAATGAAAGCAATAAATGGAAATATTACCATGGTATGACATCAGGCTGTAGAGTTTCATCATGGTCCAGAAATAATCTTGCATCTATATCTTTGTTTTTGAGATAGAGCTCATCATACTGTTTCGAGAGAACCTCAACCTCAAAAAACATTGGAAAAAAACACCTTTACTTTATAGGAACAAGTTTGACAATTTACTGAATAATATAAGCTAGTCCTACCTCATGCATACAGTGCTGAAATGCTAAGAGAATGACCTTGGAGCTTACAAAGTCACATCTTACACAACAGCTGAAACATACCCAGAGGAAAATTATCATTCTGACACACAAACAAAGATAATCTTTTATAAGAGAAAACAACCCAAGATCATGAGACTTTTTTGAAAAAATGTAGGTCTTGACACTGTAAAAGAGCTAAAAATAGCTAGAATGGGAGACATAGACCTGCAAATCAAACTAATATTTCCAGGTTTTTGAATCTTTCCTTCCAGAGAAGAGGTGGCTCCAGGAGCAGGAAATGTAAAATGACTGTCCTTAGAACAGCTGTCAGACAATCAGCTTGGTCCTTGTCTCTGTCTGTGCTGGTTTGGAGATGAAGACTAAGACCCAAACTCAAACCTTCTTGCTGTGAGTGTAAGAAGAGCTTCCTTATTTCATATTAATATCTGTACCAATATAGTTCTTAAGAGACATGCCCATTTCTACAAAAACACAGACCATTATTTCAGATCCACATTGTTTTTTTTTAAATTACTGTTAAAAATTTCTCAGTTGATTAGATCTCATATTGATATGACTTGGTTTTGCATGGAAAAATTTGTTGGGTTTTGGCTTGTTTGGGGTGTGGCTTTTTTTTGTTTGGTGGGTTTATTTTGCTTGGGGGTTTTTTGGTGGCTTTTTTTTAATTTTGAGTGACTAACATTAACTGGAAGTCTTGAATTTATTTTTATCAGGGCCAGATACTAGCCTCCACTTCAAATCTGCTGCTATGTTCCTGCAGAAGTAGGCAGTCACCTCATTTATCTGTTCCCTGAGCCCTTGAGCATACCAAATGATGCTGTGCTCTGGCAAATTCCTGCTAGAAAAACAGGCAACAGTGCATATGAACTTGAATTAGTCTCCTGCTGGTCCCAAGAAAAAACAAGCTGCAAATACCTTCTACAGAGCTTTGCTCCTCAGACTTTCCTTTTACCTTTTCCAAATGAATTTGCTCCAAACTGATCTCATGGTAAAAACTTTGAGATTAGGACTGTTAAATCAAAAATTATCTTTCAATTCCTATTATCACTTTTTTTTTTAATTTAAAAAGTCCATTACCTTTCCATTTTTTCATTATCTTCCTAATGGCTTATGCATTCTTTTTGTATAAAATATTTCAGCATTTCACAAACTTCTAGAAAATTCAGGTTCTCGTAGCAAAAAACAGCAGCTCTTAGACAAAATGGCTGTACTGGGCTAACTGGGAGGAAACTTTCAGCCAAAAATAAGAGTTCTGAATCAATCTATTCATCAGTTCATAAAGCCCGACCACCAAACACACAGTGAAGACAAATGAAATACCAACATTAAGCCTCAAAGGTTTTTCTTGTTTTGGAAACAAGATTCAAATTTATCAAAAGCTCAGTGGGTTTTTTTTTTTATGAAAATAAAAATCAATTTAAATGTCCCATATTACTAGCTATTGTACTGATGATCTCGGCTATGACTGATGGTTAGTTGGATTACATTTATGAACTGACTACCTCTGAAATATAGCCGTAACTTTCTGCTTTATTTTAGAACATTCCCTCAGGCACTCAAGTTTAAGGAGCAAGGATTGTGTGACTGAATTTTTCTTCAGATGCATCATTTTATGATTTTCACCAGTGGAGCCTTAAGCTGGTAAGTTTGATACTACACTTAAACTGAGCAGCCTTGGATGAGAACCCTCATTGATTTGAGAATAAGTTGTATAATGACCTTTGCCTCGAAGTTCATACAGGGCTTCCCAACTACATATACCCATAAATTAAAGTCTATATAGACTGCTGATACCCTGAAATTCATTTTGGAAGATATTAAGTTCTTTAGTGGGGCTTGTATTTTGTTCCCCACCCAACACACTACAAAACTGAACAGAACATATACTTGGCTGAATCTTGCAGACCTTCAGTCTGATAAGCTTCAGAGCTGCTTATTTTCAGGTTACCACATCTATTGGTGACACACAGCTAAATCTACTCTTTTAAGAATGATGGATGTAAATACATTGCAAGAAGTTACCTACTAAGGCGCACTCTAGGATGCGATTGCATAGAGGTAGTCTGCTGCATCCATGCTACAACTCAATAAGATGAAAGTAATTCTGCACAGACACAGAATAAACTCTGCCAGTTGTGAAAATGAGCCTAATCTTTTGGCTCTCTCCCCAACACGAGTATAGTAACATGTCTCAATTATATTTAAATTAAGGTGTATAATTTAAGACCGTATGCGTTTATAAACTAACTTCAGAGACTTGATATTGTAATAGTTGTATTTTAGATTAATGGGCTAAGATCATGGATATGCAGCTCTTATGCTGTGTTTTGCTTTGAGCAAAAGCACTGGTTCAGCCTCAGGAAATAAATTTATTAAATTCAAATGTAAAAGCTAAATATACTCCACGAATACTGGAATCCTGCTAAGCCACATTCCTGAAAAACAATGCATTTTGCTAGATGATTTTAGAAGAACCTATTAGAACCTCATCAACGTGTAAAAAGAATCTGAAGTAATTTGGCATAAAGTAAAGCACTATTGTTAAACTGTCTTAAATTACCTCTGGTAGTCCATTTGAAGCTACAATACCAATAGAACTCAAGAAAGGAATAAAGCTTGTGAAATACACATTTTTGACCTAAAGAAAAAAAAAAACACAAACAAAAGAAAAAACATAACATTAGTAATCTACAGAGGCAGCTATGCATACACTGCTTTCACACCTTTAACAAGAAACTGAGAGACTTCTGTAATGCACTGTGTTTTGTTTTCAATAAAGCAAAAATGAAATTGCGTACATATGCAAAATGTAGTGATATATAAGCATGCAGCACATAATCCATTGCTGGAACATTAAATGACTAAACTGGGAAACAACTGCACTCTTCCCAGTCCTCTTGTATTTCTCCTCCCATTATCTGCTTGAATATATTAAGAAAAAAAAAAATCAGTCCTTTTTACACAGGGATAGATTTATCAGCAAAGGAAGAGGGGAGTGTGGTCTTTTAAGATCCCACACAGAAGCAACGTGCTTGTTGCATACATTTTCTCATCATGGGATGCAGCTGTGAAACCCCATCAGAACAGCCCTGTGTCCACACACTACACACTGTGATGATCAATGTATAATGTCATATTGCATTCTTCACAGTTCAGTCTCCCTGGCAAAGTTATCACCCATACCAAAGGGGCTGGGTTTTGTTGTTTTTTTAAACTACCTACTAGAGAAACTATGGAATGGTAGGATACCTTCATTACTGAACTCAAGGGAATAATTAGGAAGCACAACTATTGAGATTTAAAAAGACCATTTAAAGAAATGCATATTCCAGATGGGGTTTAGCAGCATGATCTAACAGACTTTAAAACACAGGCATTACCTCATCTAAATTACAATCATGCTCTTTACAAAGGACTTCAATAACTTTTGTATCGGTATCAATTTGCTTTGAAGTACGTGTATTCCTGTTCTGACCTCTTCTTGGAGTTCGAGCTGAACCATTAACAGCCACTGCAGTCACAGCAGACTCTGGAAAGACAGTCAGAACCACCACAAGGTTAGAGTCTTCTCTTAAGAAAGGAGAAATTTAAATTTGAAAACCTAAAGAGATTTCATTTTTATATGATTTTTCAGGTCCTCCTCTTAAATATTTCCCTTTTCATCTGTTCAGCTGGGTGAAAAAACCATCATTACAGAAAACATATACAAAAATAAAACTAATTTTTAAATTCCTGTATCAGTGTTTGGACATTTTGCTTTTAAAAAGCTACTCAACACAGAATGCAACAGCAGTTTCTGTAAGCAGTTTTGAATAAGCATCTGTTTTGCAAAGCTAGGAAAGCCTTATCTTTTCACAAATGAATACATTTTTTTTTCTATTTTTACAGAAGTGTGAAACAAGGAGCTAAAAGAGTAACTTCATTTTACGTGTCTGAAGGTTAATGAAGTCACACAAGGCTTAAGTGCTGGTGGGAACCTGGAATATGGTTCTGCAGGGAGTTCCTCCTTTCCCCAAATACTTCCAGGCAAACAAACATGAAAAGAACTAGTTCACCTCAAAGAAGACATCAAAATACGTTAATTCAGTGAGGTAAAGATGTTTCATTTTATTAAGCTCAAAGTAGATGGCTTCAATATTGTCAGTTTGAAATATGTGACCTATATTAATAACATACATTAATATCACTAAATATTGTTTTTAAAATGATAACTCTAATCAGCATGCTGTTCTTATTTGTAACTTCATTTGCATTTGATAACTGTTCTGTGAAAATCTGACAAACTACACTGCTCGGGTGGTTGCATCTTAATCCCATCAGTCTTAGTCAGATCATAAAGCTTGACATCATTTAGCACAACGTGAAGCCTCTTGCTCACGAGGATTTGAACAATGCATTGTGCTATTTGCTAAAAGATTGAAGCGCTGTGTAACAGTTTACACAGCACCTGCACATATCACGCAGCTAAAGTTAGAAATCTAATGCTTTACACGTATGACAGTGATACTCATAATTCAGTCTCAAGCAGCAGCTTTTCAACACACAATGCACAGATCTAAACTGTTTCTAATAATGAGCTCCTAGACTTCATAGTTTCACTAAAAAAATAATAAATCAGTGTGAGCAGAGTTCAAAACCAGGTTGCCACAAACCCATCCTTTCCCACCTTTTATTTGCATTGGCATTAGAATAAAAGTAAGTTTTTGTATAAAAAAAGACAAGTTATTTGTTCTTACCTGCAAACAAGTAATTACTAGGTCAGATAAATATCTTCCAAAACATGGAATTTAAAGAATATAGCAGGGAATATATAATCTGTTCTATCATACTGTAACCCAAGTGGGTATTTAGTTGTGAAAAAGAATTAAAGCAAGTAGATTTAGGCTATAAATACTAGTGCCACATCCAAACCCAGGAAAGGATAAACTTACTTAGTATCAAGAAATTGTTTTCTACATACAGTGGCTCCAAATACTTCAGTATATCAATTCCGTAGCTTGCAGAAGAAGATATTCAGCAAAAATCAAATTATATCTTTGAAAGTTACCATAAATGCTTACTTAATCCACCTTTTTAGTGGGATTTTCCAGGTTTTAGGTCTAAAACCTGAATGTACAAAAGTTACTGCTGAACAGAAGTTTCTATAGTGAAAACCAATTATATTTTTACTTAAAACAGAGACACTTGCTAATAACAAAGGGGGCATAATAAAAGCAAAGCTTTTACCTCTACCATTTTATTTTTCTATCCGCTGTGTATTTCTTTTAAATGCCTGTACAGTCCAGTATTTTGCACATTCCTGTTGTCATCATACTGTTATATGTCAATGAAATAACAGTCATAGCACCACCTCTTCCTTTTGTAACTCAAAGAAAACCTAAATATTAGTTCTCAGTCATGATCCACCCAGAACCTGAATTCTTTTACCAAAGTAAAACTGCTGTTTTAACAAGCCCCTGAACAACTTGTATGCGCAGAGGACATTGCAAATGGATAGCAGGAATAGAAAAAAAAATTATTCAAATTAAATTATTTTAATGTGGCACTGTATTTAATATAAGCTCACTATCATCTAAATTGAACTAAAACATCAAAAAATCCATTTTAATAAGCTACAGAAGTTTTATTATGTTAATTATGAATGTTAGCATGACTCTAATAGAAATTTAACCAATTTACTTTCTACTTTAGTGAACAAAAAACTAAAATTCTTACTGTATGGTTCCTTGAGCATAGCAGGAGGTGACAGTTTGATAAAATAAACTAAGACACATAGCAACAACTGGAAAGAAATCACCAGGTCATCTTCCACTTGCAACACTTTACCTGCAAATGTTTAAAAAGGTAAAGAAAAACTTTGTAAGATGTTTGACTTAATTTATAACAGTAACTTTGAAAAAATAAATATTTGGAAGTTCATTTAATAAAATACTACAATTAGAATTCAGAAAGCATCATACAGGATGCCAGTGTTCTTTAAATGCTACTGATTTTAAAAATCATGGTTCTTAAGAGGTTTGTTGCTTTAGAGATAGCATCCATATAAACAAATTTACTGTGCACAAAATTCCTACCTCTCAGTGCTCCTTCCTGATTTCTTTCTCATTTTACTATAGGGGATTAACTGCGTAGCCTATTTTACCTACATGTTCCTCTAATTTCTATGCAATTCTTCCTCGCTTTCTTTTTTGTGGTCTTAAGCTTTGTGAAAGTATTCAGAAAGCAGGAGTTGCTAGTATATAGTGAAGGGAAATTCAAAACATGCCATCACACTATGCTCAGCCTGTCAAATTTATATGAAATTACCTAAAAGCCACACAAATACTAGCATGAAGAGCACTTTTAAAACTACATTATTCCAGCTGTTCCCAAATTATGATTCACGTGCCAGAGAAGATCTATAGGACTGTTCCAAGACAGCGTGCATTGCCACAAAATATTTGGCAAG